CTCTTCATCGGGAGGCTCTCCTGCACCTGCGCCTGTCCCACCTGCTCCAGGTCCAAGTGTTCCTGGTCCAGATCAGTCGTCTGGAACAAAACCGAATCGTCCTCCGAGTACGATCTATACATCGTGAATCGTGATACTTTATCTCTTCAGGATCTTCCACGAGGTCGCAGATCGACACTTTCGTTGATGCAGCTGAGATTGGCGAGGATGTCGATGTCGATGCAGATGACGTTGATGAAGATAACGATTTTGGATTTTGGGGGATGATGCCACGGTAGGGACAGATGGCCAGGCCACCTATGCCCTCACAACGAAGGATTTCAGGATGTAGATGCAGCGGTCAACGGTTTATTACTTCTTCTGAGATTTTCTTCTTGCGACAAATAAGTTTGTACTGATTCGTTTGTTGCTTCTGTGATGAGACGATGACGCGTGTCAAATGGAGAGTCCAAGTTTATATACGAATAAGACGTCCATATAGATGAACCGACAGCACATTGATTCCGAGGGGTGCATTATTAAGCGAATAAAATGGTTTCTTCAATTTATCTCCTGTCTCGCTTGCAACTTGCAGAACATCTTCATCGAATGGACACCATGAGCATCGAACTTAGACCTGCTTCAAGTTCTGGACGAGTATGAAGTGGTTGGATGCGTTCGATAAGAACAAAGATCAGAAGGAAGGACTGAGAGTTTCGAGGTCGGTGTGATCAACAAGAGACTCCTAGACATTGAGAGACAAGTATTGGGCAGTGACCGTCACGTACTCCAAATGAAAACGCTTCTGTTGGAAGTAATCGAACTTCAATACCCTCGTCTTCACCGACTCCCCGTTTGGATAATGATCGATCAATCAGCCTTGATCAGAGGTGAATGCTTCAGAAGAACATGTTGCGACGAATGTTATACAGGTAGTCTTTTTGTCTGAGTACAATGTATTGTATCTGAGCATTCTGTCAAGGGCTATGTGACGGCGTTGTCTCCAATATCAATGGCAATGGAGCGGGTCAAAGTTGTTTGTGTTCCAGAGAGAGCTGTGGATTGGTCCAACAATTCACCTGGGGTTTTACGTTTACAATTTCACCGACGGCTGCTACACCTGTTGCTGAATGATGGAAGGACGGTCTAAAAGACAGAGGCAGTTGCTTTGTAGTAGATTCAATGCGAGACCTGAAATTTTCATCTGGTTTCCTCTCGTTCTTTCGTTTCTCTTGTGTTGGTAGAGCTAGTCGATCAGTTTCGTCTATGTTTCTTGTAGTTGTACAAGGCATTTATGTGATGTATGTGATGTCTGCTGCAATACCATTGGCCCATATCTTCTAATGTGTGACTTGATGTGTGTCTTACTTTGAGTGATGAGTCATCATATCTGTTCACTTGTTCTGTTAGTCTTGACACCATGACACTGGATCTTAACTGCCTGGGAAAGCAAATGATTGACATCGCTTTCTCTAAATATTGTCATGACTTCGGTCATGAGTCATTTAACGGCCTCGTCGATGAATCATTGTTTGTAGCCCATGGCTAAACTCGTCTGAAAATCTCACAAACCGCGTTAAATCGCGCTTGCGTCTTCATTTTTTAAAGTACTTCGAATCGACGACGATGGATCTTCTTGTCTGCTTCATGATCATCGTGTCCTATCACATGGGTCTGGTCGAATCTCAGGGAACCAAAGGAGATGAGGCACCCTTGCCATTAATCATCAGACAATGCACTACTTCCGGATGTGAAGTGCTAGAATCCACATCAGTCACGATAGATGCAAGCTGGCGAAATAATAACGGTGTGCTGGAAGGATTTACTGTGGAAAGGTACACAAACAATGGTGTCACCGTCAAAGGTGATGCCATCACGTTGAGATATGTAGCACCTCACGGTGGCATTGGTTCTCGTTTGTACGTGTTGCAAGACAAAGAATATATCATGTTCAAGCTGAAGAACCGAGAGTTCGTCGTCGACATCGACGTTAGCGAGATTGAATGTGCAATCAATGCGGTAAGTGAGGGAGCGATGGATGAAACTCTTGGTAAATGGTTGCTCATGGATCGCAGGCGGCGTATTTCGTAGAGATGGACAAGACCGGCAACAAAGGAGAAGGCGGCAATACAGCTGGAGCTTTATTTGGAACGGGTTACTGCGATGCTCAATGCCGACCTGCCTGCTGTAACGAGTTGGATGTGTGGGAAGGCAACAAACAAGCACAGGCAGTGGCCACTCATTCTTGCTCCAAGAAAGGACATTTTGTGTGTGACAACGACGAAGGGTGTCAAGGTGCTTGTGACAGTCCTGGCTGTGATTTCAATGGCTTCCGCATGGGATCGAAGAATTTTTATGGTCCAGGGATGACGGTGGACTCGAACAAGACATTTACGCTGGTCACTCAATTCATCACTAACAATAACAAAGATGATGGAGATTTGCAGGAAATCAGGCGATTCTTCGTCCAAGGAGGCACAGTGATCCCAGACACCAATTCTACCTACAATAACCTGAGTTCCATCAGTGACGACTATTGTGCTCAGCTGCACAAGTGGACCGGTGATAAGAACCATCACGAGGAATTGGGAGGGTTGAAGACGATGGGAGAGGCTTTTGATCGAGGAATGGTGTTAGCGCTATCCCTCTGGGATGATGCTAGCGGAGGGATGCAATGGTTGGATGGTATCCTGGGCAATGAAGGTGAGCCCGGTGCACTTCGAGGTCATTGTGGTGAAGATGCTATACGAAATGTGGATACTTTGAGGGATACGTATGGTACAGCGACTATAACCTACTCCAACATTCGATTCGGTCCCATTGGAACCACGACTACTGAGAAAGCTGGAGTGAATTCCACTGCTTCACTCGGTACAGGGGATAATGCTGACAACGCTGGATTGGATTCTTCTGCTGCAGATGGTACAGGGGATAGTGCTGACCACCCTGGATTGGATTCTTCTGCTTCAGATGGTACAGGGGATAGTGCTGACCACCCTGGATTGGATTCTTCCGCTTCAGATGGTACAGGGCATAATGATGACAACGCTGGATTGGATTCTTCTGCTTCAGATGGTACAGTGCATAATGATGACAACGCTGGATTG